TGATCGAACAAGAAATCTCGAAGTGAAACCCATTATCCCCAGACCCACAAACAACCACTCGCCCACCACTTCATGGGCAAGTAATTCATATCTTAGAACCAAAGCTTTAACATTGTTCCCAAAAATAGCAATGTAGCAAAAAGAACTAAATATGGCTGTCAACTATTCAATAACCCACGTACAACAATAAAATTACAATTTTTAGGAGAATTGTGAAAGATTCAGTCATACACAAGAACCTATTATAGTGAAAAAAAATTGGCAAAAATCTCCATATTTCTCTGCTACTTTCTATATCTCTTTCAACGAACACATAAGACTCCACGAGAATTTCGCTATGCCTTCCTCTTCTTCCTTAGATATAACTTTGGATTTGTGTATTCTGAATTGTAAAACGTGGTGGACAGGTCTCCGCAAAAGATTTAACTCTAGGTTTCTATTCATGGTCGCATAACTTGTTACCACTAGCCGGTAAAAAACAGAAATGCGACCCTCAGTCAATGGATCTCATCCTGCTGTTGGTTGAGCAGTGAGTCCAAATTTTTCCTTGTTAGTTTATGCAATTTTCTTATCAGCATTTTGCCAGCTTTATAAGAAACACAAACATTTGATCTTGTTTATATGCAATTTTCTCGTCAGCATTGTGTCGTATCCAAATGGTCGGGCCATACTTGTAATTAATTCTGTTCAGGAGGGAGTCACGCGACTCATTTCACCTCCTTCTTTTGAGATCTTGCTGCGGCTTATATTCCCTGCTTCATCCGAGAGAGCAAAGGTAAGTACAGAAATTTATTTTGACAAAACCTTGATGCGTACGTGCCTGATCTCTCTGTTTGTGTGCACACATGATACAGAGAGGTCTGAGGCAATTTATCCCTTGTTGAAACAACTGGCTCTTGCTGATACACCAGGAAGAGAGGCAATGAAACAACTCACTAAAGATATTCACTTTTTCTCTGAAATTAGCTGGGGAAGGAAATCATGTTTTAGCCAAGGAGGCTACATCAATCGCTATCTGGTGTGTGACCAAGAACGTTGATTGCTGCAATCACTGGGACAATGTCTATCAGAAAAATCTTGAAGCTAGTGTTGCTCTTCTTAGAAAGCTTGTAGACGAATGGAAGGATCATTCCCACAAACTATCATCATCACCGAGTGATACTCTAACTCTCAATCGAACTATGAAGAGCTTCATGCTAAAGGTAAATGCCTCCTACTCCACTCACTCTAAATTTCATCTCTGACCTAACCTGTGATGTTTGTAGAACACAAAACACATCACTGAAGGAGGACCCAATGCTTCTTTTTGCAAAGAAGCTAACAAGTACAGCAAAGAGATCTTGGGGAGTTTCTCCCGTGGAAGTGGCTTCCTCAAAGGTATAGCCATTAGTGCTGTGCTTCTAGTTGCTGCAGTTGCCGTACTGCTCCAGTCCTATCTTCCAACCTGGTAGGCTCATTCGATCCGCACAAATACATCAATGCAATCACCACAGTTTTGGAAAAACTAATTAGAGGAAAGAAACAAAAAAAGACCTGAGGACAACGTATAGAGTGGTAACTCTGGTTAATGTCTGTGTAGAGACCGTTTTGTATAGATGAATGAATGAAACATACAATTGTAACTTTGATTTGAACACTTAACCGACTTCTAATTCGATTTCTATTTGGTTTGGTTCGGTTTCAGTTCTGTATAGATGAAACAATTAACAACGAATTTCGGTTCGGTTTGCCACCTAATAGTTTTTTCAAAATTAACAATATTTCATTTTTATTTACATCCACCTTTATCTTTTTTTCTTCTTTGTAAAAAACACTAAATAAAGAACACAAGACTCGATAGAAATAACCATTATAGGCTTTGAACACAGGAGAAGCTTTTATAATCCTTGAGTAGATGATGAAGAAGACGCGGCACGGAAATGCTTGTTCCCGTGCTCGGACGTCAGATGCTCTGAAGCCGGTCTCTTTGGTCTTAACTGCAAATGACAAATTAAACTTCAAAAAATAAGAGTGGGGTTATTCAAATAGGCTCAACATTCGGTGTTCTAGATCGTGTATGTTGAAACAGTTTCTTCTCTTTGGTCTTAACTGTGCTAGTTTATCTAAAGAGACTCGAGATCAACAAGTTAAGACGATTTTTGTTCTCTATTCACATTCCTAACAAGTTAGTCTTTGTTATGACAAGAAGGACGATTCAAATCAAAGACTCAATAAACTCTGAGGATTAAGTGCTCTGTTATTACCTTTTCTTCAGCTCGTTGATAGAAGCTGCGTATGAGTATGTTTTTTACTTCTGTAGTTATCACTGCCAAAAAACAACGGAATAAAGATATAATGAATCGTAGCAAACTAGCAATGAATTATCCATGAAGCTCAAGACTGTTGTGAATGGTTTAACAGTCTTGAGGTTCAAAAATCTCGGAGGCGATTCTAAAGAAGTGATTCAATGTAAAAGATAGTTCTCCGTATAATCAGATCACTCAATCAACGCAAGTTCAAGATCAGTTTCTGGCCAAGATCACAAGTTCAAGGACAAATGTAGACTAGATATAGAGTCGGAAAACACGAAGATCTCTAACCGAAGAAAGCAAGATTAAAAAACCCGCAACTTTTTCTTTTCTTTTTACCTTGATCTGGTGGTGGAAGTGTACGGTTGTGAGTAGGATGATAGGTAGTTGGAACCATTCTCTGAATAAAAAAAACAAAATATGAACAAAAAATCAAATCTTCAATAACAAATCATAAGTCTAATCTCCAAGCTCATTACAACTGGGCAATGAAATGAAATTTTGCATATTCCTTCTTTTCTTAGTACATAACAACTAATTAAGCGTAATGGAAACATAGATGTTAAGATCAATCAATCTGGGGAAAAAAAAAATGACTACTTTCTTGGTTCCTCACAACAATATCGATGAAAGCATGAAGAAAAAGATCAGATCAAGTAACAAACAAACCCAAGTAGACAATCGAATATCTCATTTGAACAATTTGAGAAAGAAAAAAAAAATCAAAAATTGAATCAGATTCCAGTTCAGAAAACCTAGTCTCTCAATCCCAACATTTTAAAGTAAAAATCGAACTTGGATCCGATATTAGCCGAATACAGAAGAAACGAATCAACCCAGATCTTACAACACCTGAAGATTTCGTATAACAGTTGTATAGATGAATAGCGATTGAACCCAATTTCACCGAATACGCAAACAAAGGAATCGAAGGGAGAAAATAACCCAGAATCGAATCGAAGGAAGAACATACAGAGGGATTAGAAGGATCGGAGGGACGATGTTGACTGAAATTGTGAGGATCGAAGGAAGGCAAATCACCCAGAATCGACGCCATTGCTTTTCAATCAATCAAATGTTCCTTCTCGAAGAAAAGAGATTATAAACAAACAAAAAAGGGTTTATGCCAACAAACAAATTTATGTTGCGGTAAGGGTTTGTACCGTTTTTATTGCGGTATGGCATTTGGTTCGGTTTTTTCAATTTATTGGGTTTTCGGTTTGGGACAAAGTGTTTACGCCAAAAAATAGGTGGACAAATT